TTGGCAGGAAAGACAAAGCACCACGAGCAATGCATTGAGCAGTGGCGGATCCAGAGGGGGCCAGGGGGCCATGCCCCCCCCCCCAAAATACGCATGACGATTCATACCATCTGGATTACGCATAGCTTCTCTGCGATTTACGCTCCGTATATTTTAAGCGTAGCTTGGAACCCCCCCCCCCCCCAATACATTTTACTGGGTCCGCCACTGGCATTGAGAACACTCCTCCAGTCTCTCCAATGATTTAAAATGTTTGATCTCTAAATATATACTGGATCTCTGTTTCAAAATTGTATCCTACCCGTTTACCGAAAGATAATCCAATCCTACCGTTACACTTATACATCAGATTCACTATCTTGTGGTCCAAGTGAGAAAGTGAAGTCTGCTTTCCCATTATACTTTGGAATTCTTCCGCTTCAGCTTCGATGGTTGGCAATCCATTAACACTGAAAGCCTAATGGAATTTACGATAATCAGTATCATTTAATTATAGAGTAAGTAAGTCACGACACAAATCTGGAACTTTCCCAGTTATTCTATATCTCAACAACTATTAGAAATTGTTTTCTGGAATACGTAGTTATTATATTACAATTATAATGTTGTTTTGAAACGATGTTTTTTTTTTCAATTTTCAATTTGTTTGTTGTGGTTTGAGTTACAGGTGTGTGTTATTACTACACCTAAGACGCAAATCATGTGACCGAGATCTCGTTGAATGCGAGAGAAACACGAGATTCATCGACTACCAACAAAACAATTATATATTGACTAAATTTCCGTCAAACGCTGTATTATTGCATAAAGATGAGGAAAATTCAAAATAAACAATTTATTCAAATAAAACAAATTTACCTTTGGAGCATAGTGCATAATTGAGGTGACGTCATATGGTACGTCATGGGAGTCAACCATCGCCCAATCCTTGGTAGTGAAAGACGACTCTTTTCCGGGTTCAATATTTTCGCCTTTGATAGTTACAGTGTCGTTTCTATCTGGTCTTGTATGCTCGTGCCATAACCCAATTACGTGTCCAATCTCATGCAGCGCCACTCCCAACTGTTTGGAATGAAAGAAAACTTATACAACACCATTCCAATCACAATACCATCATACTTACCGTATGAATGTCGGTAGGTATGGATGTCTTTTATGGAAATTTATAGACTAATTATAAAACATTTACACGGAAGACGCTTAATTAAAATCCAAAGTATATGCCATAAAAACCATTTAATAACGCCAATTACCATGAGTCTTTGCGAGCTTCCTTCTATTATTGTCCGATTTACATTGTGATTAGACAAGTTGTTTCAACCGTCATTCAAAATTTATTAATATTTTATCCCAAAAATCATGCTTTCATCTATTTCATAAGTTTAAAAAATGTTTGTACATGCCAAGATTAAATCCATTGGACAAAAGCATACAAAAAATGTGCTCAATGACGACTGCGAACAACCAAGAGCACGCTATCTATTCAAGTTGAAATGTACTTTCCAGTTACGTGCATCATACTACAAATTCCTGTCTAAATGTTCTTAAATTGAATGAAGCATCATTAACAAACAAACAAACAACAAACTTACCGCACTGCACCCACCACTGGAATCTAAAGACACCTTTTGAGTTCCTCCAGTAAACGCCATATTGGACCAACATCTAGAAACGAATGGACAATATACATCCCGAGAGAATAGAAATATAGTGGTTTACACAGAGACGAGATAAAGGAACCCACTCTGAAAACCATAGTTACTATTGCGGTTAGATACGTCGGTATCTAGGGACGAATATACGATATACTTATAAACATGTGGTTACGTATATATAAAATATATGCTTATATACATTCGCACTATTGACAATAAGTGATCTCATATATAGTGAATCATCATGCATTCAAATTGTATGTAACCAAACTATGCATTTTGTGTTCAATTCACAGATATGAACTCACCCAGTTCCATCAACGAATGACAGTTTACCATTATGATTAACTCCCTCTGCTGGCCACTCGGGGAAAGTGAGACAGGTATTTTCTTCCCATGCGCGCATAGCTTTCTGTGCGTTTGGTCTGTTCCCTTCAGCTGAGGTCAATGACACGTAAAGTGTAATTACAGTGATTTTATATTTTGTATTTCAATTCTCATATGAGAAGAATTTAATACAACTAATTTGAGTGTAAAAATAACACAAATAAATAATATGTCAACAACTTGGCAATGTTATAATCATAATGGTGTGTACTTGGACTGTATTTACATTGTAGATATTTTAAAATAAAAAAAACAAAATATTTAAAATCATGTACAAGTCCAAAAACTAGATGACATTGAAACAAACAAACATCACAGTACAGCACAGTATCGTCATTGTTTGTAGAATGCGCTATAGGACGGACAACACGACGCCAATGGAATAGTTCAGTATGGTGTGATAAAAACATAGGCTACGTTTGGTCCAATCATCGTTGACGACAGCCGACCGAGTTCTGAATAGTTTACATGTGTAATTCGTGACTTAATATTTCTAGCGATTTTTAACACCTTTTCATAATAAGTATTCAAAACTGTCGAGTTTTAAATATTTATATGAGTGTCTAACATTTAAAAGGCGCTTGCTTCGTGTACTTAATTTTTGATAAATACATTTATTGAAGGGGTCTCTTCCTTCGACTTATTTTCAAAAGTTCACTTGCGCACAATTCAAAATATTTAGGTATTATTCCCAGGATACTAGTAGCCTGTCACAATCCATGCTGTTCACGTTGTCATTGAACGTTGTCATTGAACGTTGTCATTGAACGTTGTCATTGAACGTTGTCATTGAACGTTGTCATAAAACGTTGTCTTTCTTTGACTCAACTGACTCAATTAAACCACTCTACGTATGAAACAAATCTTTATTGGAAATGGAAATGTTATTTTGTTAATCCCAATTATTCACGATGACTAATTCACATTAAATGTGACAATGATTTTAGGCGTGACCATGGACCCTACACAGATTATCACAGTTAGCTAACACTGGCTTTCCAACAGAACCCACCCATGTATGTTATGGCATGTACTGAGTGTTGGGAGGACCCCTCCAAAATTAAAGTGACTGTAACTGACAGTAACCGCATGGGGCACCTTTAATGACAGAGAATATTCTAAAATGGAACCTAAATCAATTATATGTAATTATATATAGGATTTAAATAATGTTTGGCCTACTCACATAAACACAAATCAATTGAAAGTCGGGCAATCGGTATAATGTATTTAAGACTCAAAACTTCAACGAATTCTGAACTATAAAATAATAGTCAAAGCTATTTTTATATGTAATTATGAGTTTTATTGTTTTATATGTCTACCGCACATAACAAACTCTTAGCATACCTTCTATTTCTAACCACTAGTTATTTGAAGTACAATTAGACGCTTACGTGTTCCACACCACGAAGATTATAGCGAGGTGACAGGTTCATTGTAATATGTGTGTTTGTATACATATTCTCTTTTCACAATTACCTGTATTTATTATGTTTAATTGTACAGCCTTAGAAAAGCTTATATACGGAATAAATTATTTAAAGCAATTTTTATAGCAAAATAAATACGACTACCTAATAGAACAAATCATTTTCCATTGAATATTCGAAAATAGACCAAAATGGCGTATCGAATATTTTAAGTAATATATTTTATATTTCATGTTACTTTTTTCTGGAGCATAATATAAGATCTGGTTCCTTTCTAGATACATGTGAAGTATGTTATAATAATAACTGTACCTATGGTATCCCATTCGTAAGGGATAATACCACTAGGCCAAACTTTATAGTTATCTGTATTGACTGCTTTGCGTTTCTCTCTGCCATCATATTGACGTGACATATCTTTATAGTCACGAAGCTGGCCCGGGTTTAGAACGATGTCGCCCTCATTTGAATTTGGTGAATAGGCAGTCTCCGCCTCCGTCGGATCGACGTTGTTTTCCATTTTTAGCTGATGTAACAGCGCCTTGAATAAAAATGTAGAAAGTATTGCAGAATAAATGCTATGCGTGGCTATGAAGGGTTCAACATGGTAGTCATGACGACTCGTCATAATTTTAGCCATGTATATGTAAATCAGTATTAGTCTGATACGTCACAAATTAAACAAATTGAATATTTGAAGGCATTGAGCTGGAACAATATACCTTGAAAATGTAAGACGATGTATGCAAGATAGTAAATAATATAGACCTTCTATAGGTATATTTCAGTATGCTGTTGTTACAATGATGCTGTAAATATCCTATAAAGTGTCTTTACAAATATTTGATGTATGAATTTTGTAAATCATATTGATTAAAGTTATTGTTATTACATGAATTATTGAACACAGTGTATACTTTGTGATTTCATTCAGGCTTTTTCGGTCATAATTCAAGACAACTAAAATTCGAACATAGAGAACAATTATTTTTTCTAGTCTAATCGGTAATTATGAAAGTTATTATTGGCGCGCTTATGTAATGCATTTTGTTATAAATTATTCTTGATATATATTTTAATTTTCTTATTTTCAGGGCCCTCCAAAAAACAGCGTAAGAATTTTACAATTTTGAAAATGGGAAGTTTTTATCGCAGCGTTCGTAGTGTTTATAAATATGTAAGATTAGGAATGGATGACCGTTGTACGATTGTAGTTGATGACCGTTGTATGATTGGAGAGCTGAGGATACATCAGAGTGGATGACCGATGTATGACGAATGTTGATGAACTGATGTCCAATATTTATTTGATAAAATTCTATTCTACGTTGAATAAACGTGAGTATAATATCACTTAAAAACAACTACTACAAAAAATTTAAATTAAATAACATGTATGAAAAATAAATAAATAAAAAAGGAAGAATTAACAATAAATGAAACCCGAACTAGACTCTTATTTTAACTAGATTAAAATGGAGTGGGGATACGGAAATTTCCTGTAATTAATTATAATAATATGTTGATTAATGATGTGACATTGACATTGTATTTCAAGTTTAAGTGCGCCGTGCTTTGGGAAAAAATATTAAGATTTCCAACTCATTTATCGTGCGTATTTCTATCAACATAGATAATTACCGGCATGCCATAAATGATGACAGATGACCAATATCGGTGTAATTAATAAACAATACAGTACGAGTATATATCAAGGTCATGAACTTGATCTTGGGAAAGCCAACTTACTGTTAGAATATCCTGAACAAACAATCATGCATAGTTAGTGGTACGCGTCCACACATATGGTCATGTATCTTATGAATGAAACGAGTCCGACAGGCGAGTGTAAATTACACTTGCGTTGTATTGTTTGGTTTATATAATATTATGCTTTATTTAAAGAGAACAGTGAAAACAATAATATTGCAATTTGCATGAAACAGAGCCCTCTAGTACGAATGCATTTAGTGAGAACGGATTTATGTTGTAGCACCAAAATCGAGAAAGTTCGCTAAATTCTATCAACTTACATAATGATCAGTTGCATTTGAACCTGGCGTATATGAACTTTTTTTGATTTTCCATTAGAACCTTTATTTTATCAGTGGTAGCGGTGTATCCTAATGAGCTGATTAAATAAAATTGGCGAATTTGAAAGTCATAACCACCGTAAAAACAGTGCGCTAATTACTACAGTAATCGTAGTTACTTCAACCCCGAAAATAACCCGCCTTTTTAACTTCTGTGGTATATAAAATTAACTATCATGATAAGAACTCGCGTTCACTTCAGTTCTACGATTCCTTGTAATATTCAAGTATTACCTCTAACACAAGTTCCGTCTCCAAGTTATGTCACAAATATTACAGAAAACTGTGCGAATGTAAAAAAATGTCGCAATCGTAAACATACATCATCTTACCTCCTTGGCGGGAGATGCTGAACTATATAGGACAAACGTCACAAAAGCGGTGACCACGAACAACTTCATCTTTGCTACAATACATGAAGTTGAGAAACTACGGGTTTTTATATGAGGTGGACATGACGGTGATTATAATAACAAATGAGCATCGATACGAAGGTCTCCCACAGTGGCTGTCAATTTCCGTTGGGATAATTTAAAATGATGCCAAACCGTAAGGTTATTATCAGCTATTTTTCGATCGTAAAAGACGGTGGGAGTTCCGATTAATTGTAATCACATATATGGTAGACTGTAAATTCAAGTTGTTTCGATATATTGCTGTTCCTACTTAGAATCAAAAGTGCCTTTTATTCCAAATGTCTGTAGAGTGCTTTATTACCAATGATACCGCTGGATTACAGAGTTTTAAAATAAATTACTTTTACTGATTTGGAATAAAAGATGACAAGAGTTCATAGTTTTAACTTTAAACACTTGGAGAGACTATAATGTGAAAAAGAAAAACGATCCCCGAAACAATCACAAAGGCATTCCAGAGTCCTATTAAAGATAAAACGACGGCCCTGCTTTATCTAAGATTTATAGCCACCTTGTGTTGATACTCAGCATTCGTAAAAACAACCCATACTTCCCTTTATTCAAACATTTGGTTAAATCCATTTATCATTTGGTTTATGAAATTACCACACACAAAAACAAACTTGGGAAACACTATCAGAAATGGATTGCTAGATTTGACTAAGGTATCTTATTGTGAGAATATACTTTCGGTAAATTATTCACATCTTGAATTAGTGTTAAATTAGCTAAAATAGTGACAGTGCATGCTAGTTACTCAACACTTCGAATGCATATTACTAGCGTAAACAATAAAAGTAAACTTAAAAGACATGTTTACCCCAAAACGGATTTTGTAAGTCTTCATGGCCTGTTTCTTGACTCAGAGCTGTATCTAGAAAGAGATTTGTTGTCATTGCTACTTTCATTGGAGACAGTAGGAAAATTACGTTTCCCGAATTCATTCACCTGGCACTGAATTTGAAACCGGGTCCAAGGAGAACAGGTTCTGAATGTGAGACACATACTTTGGAATTCCTAACGTGTAATGTATGACACTTACAATACTATTAATCTTCCACAAGTTACGACGAGTTAAATTGGCTGCTGTCCAGTCAGATTAAAATAAAACCTTGTTCTTTTAGTTTGATTTTATTTGGCTAGTATTTTTTTATGATTATCCGAATTTAAAATAACTACTACCAGGTACACTTAAATAAAATAAAATACATGAAAAAATAAAAATTAATTACATATTAAAAAATAAACAAACATAATAAAAGAAATATTACTGTAATAAGACTGCTACCCAAATATCGTGTCAGTTTTAGTTCTTTTGCCATTTCATACAAAGCATTTAATGTTAAAAACAAACTACCTTACGGTCTTTTTTGGTGCTTGGAAGGTATCGATGGAATTGTCGGTAACCAGTGCAAGTGGCACTCGTACTCGAGATTTCATTAGAAAAGCGCATTGGATTCTGGGAAAATCAATGTTTATCAACACAAATGTTGCACATGCGCGGCGCGACGACTACAGCCCTTTAAAAACATGTATATATATATGAACATTATAGTGGTGAAACAAACAACCTTGGCTTTGAATTTATCCTATTATAAGTGTCTAAACACATATGTTTATCTTATCACTGATAATAAGTACCCATGCATGTAGTGGATTCATCAACCCTAGTTGAAGGGTATGTCTGTTCATGCGCGGCGTGTTCCCGTACTGTCACAAACGGAATTTCTTTCATTCAAGGTACACATATATCAAGTATAAAAACGCGATTGAAGTGGAGAAATATAAACAAACATTTTCACCGAAAATAGAGAATTAGTGTTATCGTTTGCCCACAGTATCTACATCTCAAGTATCAAGGTAATTCATTTCCAGTTTTCAAGAAGAAGCCAACAAAGCATTTTTACCAAATATAACAAAAATATTCGCTAAAAATATTTCCACGAAATGAACAAATCTAACAGCTATGAACAATGTACCCCCTCCAATGATTAGTGACGATGTATCCCTCTCCAATGATTAGCGACAATGTATTCCCTCCAATGATTAGTGACAATGTATTCCCTCCAATGATTAGTGACAATGTCTCCCCTCCAATGGTTAGTGACAATGTATTCCCTCCAATGTTTAGTGACAATGTCTCCCCATCCAATGATTAGTGACAATGTATCCACCTCCAATGATAAGTGTCGATGTTGCCCCTCCAATGATTAGTGACAATGTATCCCCCCTAATGAATAGTAACAATGTTGCCCCTCCAATGATTAGTGACAATGTTGCCCCTCCAATGATTAGTGACAATGTTGCCCCTCCAATGATTAGTGACAATGTCTCCACCTCCAATGATTAGTGACAATGTCTCCCCATCCAATGATTAGTGACAATGTATCCACCTCCAATGATAAGTGTCGATGTTGCCCCTCCAATAATTAGTGACAATGTATCCCCTCCAATGAATAGTAACAATGTTGCCCCTCCAATGATTAGTGACAATGTTGCCCCTCCAATGATTAATGACAATGTATCCCCTCCAATGATTAGTGACAATGTTGCCCCTCCAATGATTAGGGACGATGTTGCCCCTCCAATGATTAGTGACAATGTATCACCTCCAATGATTAGTGACAATGTTGCCCCTCCAATGATTAGTGACAATGTTGCCCCTCCAATGATTAGTGACAATGTTGCCCCTCCAATGATTAGTGACAATGTTGCCCCTCCAATGATTTGTGACAATGTACCCACAGGATTAGTACTTTTAATCAGTATTAATTATTTTCGCACAATTTATCTTTGATATGAAAAATTTTTTTACTGTCACCTAGCAACGATAATGTAGTTCATGATTTCACGACTGTGACAAAAAGACGGCATAATAGCATCAAATGTTATAATTCAATACATCTACCACATGGCAAACAATTTCACTTTTATTTTCAAACGAGTTCGGTAATAAATTCGCTCAAGGTGATAAATGTCCAACCAGTGACCACCTAAGCTGTTGGATAAATCGATCAATAACAATTGCAATGAATACTAAAATGGATTATTTTCTGTGTCAAAGTACGGACTTTTCTCGTAAATTGAAAATTATTATTGTAATTAATAACCTCTAATTACAGAAGACAACTTCCGAGTGAGCAGATAATGACACTGTTCAGACTGTTGTAAATCTTTTTAGCACTGTGGCGTGAACAGGTAATCCGGTCATTCGGTGTAATATGCCACATGGCATAATAGTTGTCATACATAGAGAAATGATGGTATACATCGTATTATGTGTTATTCTAACAAATAAGTACGTATAAAATACTGAAATATATAGCTTGAACTATTCTTGTTATTACCGTGAGTATTGAATGTTTTTATTTGCGTTTTGTGGAGGCAACAAGGGTGATTTATTTAACGGGGGAAGACACAGTAATCATTGCTCGTTCTTTCCTATTGAAGGTTCGCAATATCACGATTTAACTCATCGTATATGACCAGACATCGTAATTATGACGTATCGGAATCGTCCTATGGTAATCTCAGTCATGTATCTAGAGTATTGAAATAGAAAAGGCGTTAACATATTGGAAAATATAGATGATCTATACCGTTATTCAGCCTTACCCCAGGATATCGACATTTGAAAATATTCCAGTTTTAGAATACGAACCAGGGGCGGATCCTGGTACATACCCAACCCTTGTATATATTGGAAAATACTCAAATAAAAAATCAAATACTGGATACTGACCCCTGGATTAAAAAAATACGAAGATCCCATAATCCCATTGCCGCTTATTCTTATCGCTTTAATAGTCACCTATTTTTACATTCTGCGGTCAACAAATAGTTCAACATTATGAACGTAACATTTGCGTTCTAGATTTGTTGGATTTTCTCTGCGCTGATCGGGTAAAATTTTGCTACTAAAACACGAAGATACAAATGTTGTTATGAGCAACGCAGACGGGCGTCATGTATCTTTAGCCCACCAACTGTTTATTTTAGATGATTTAGATGCTTTACAAATATGAACAGCCTAAGCGATCTAAGAATAGCTCCTATTTCTATAAATCAGTAGTTACAGGCTGCACAAATACTTACTCTGTAGTTTTACCATGCGATTCAATGATCTATTATTGTTTGTTATTTTCAGTATTAATCTATTGTACCAGAATCTATATCAACTTTTTTATTGACTTTTGCACTCCTTAGTCATTCCCTGGACAAGAATGATTTTTTTAGTGAAGTGATATTGAATGCAAATATCATTTATCCAGCTTAGGATCATAAAAAAATTTTCATCAGTTTCCCCAACCCAACTCCCAGTAATTAAAGTCCAATCCCTAATACAAACAAAAATCAAAGAAAGCTTAGAAAGAACTCCTGTGTACTAAGTGTACTAGAGGCGTGGATTACAAATAAATACTGTATTTAATATATCAGTAGCACACCATAAGCAAAAATTGCAAAATCATCTTAATAAGTCTCATTTCGACCATAGACATGCTTTTGTCATTTATATTTGAGCAGGTGTGCTTCTAATAGAACAAATAAGGCATTTAAAAATATATAACTGCAAGCAGTGATCAGGGTGGTTGAAGGTAGTTATGGTATTGTATAATCAATATGACCATATACACATATGGTTATCTGATATGTTAGTT